GGGTCCCCCAGACGGCCGGATATATCCCGACGGTCCCTGCGGGAGTCACCGCGACAAATTTCAATATTGATTTGTTCGCGTTACAACGGGTAGTCTTAGCGACACAGTAAAATAAGTAAAAACAGTCCTTAAACTTGTCTGTAGAGCTAAATGAAATAAATGTGCTCTCGGTTATACTCACGTGTTATGTTTTTCTGTACAATAAATAGTTGACATGTCAGCCCTATTCTTTTTTTTTTCAAGGATCGGATAAGCTCTGCTATCATTATACAGCACATCACACTCGTAATTGTTACCGAACGCAAGCGCTTTATAAGCGTTCAACTGCGCATTAAACAATTTTACACACTTATTAATCAGAGGAAATATACAAATTGGCATATAATTTAGCAGAAAGCGAACCCACGAAAATAGCTAAACCCTCACGTCTCAAATTACTTCGAAAAGATCAGCGTAAACTGAGGGCGGATTATTTGACAATAGAAGCAACATACATACCTGATATCACCTATGCATCGAATAAAAAACAAAGAGAGTTACAAGAACTTCGTGAAGACAAAGGATTTTATTGTCCTGACTTCTTTGCCCTCGAAAAAGTGCGAGAGCAGTTACAAAAATGCGATATATAAAATCCCTCTCAATGCAAAATTTAATAGATATAATGATAATGTCATGTATGCGACCATCAGAATTACTATACATAGCAGATATCACACAATGTATACGATTATTTATTGTTTCAATCACAGCGCTCTTTTAAAACATCAAACAGCTGAATTACTATACTGATAAGCGCAAGTGGAGAATGGAGGAAGTAATACGACAGTACGACTGAAGAGGAAGCTGTCTACTGGTAAACAAAAACTTTCTTTACTAAAATGCAACACAAAGGTTGCAAGCATGAAACCTACGTGTATAACAAAGGGTAGTACATACGTACGTACGAGGCGAGTGTAACACAAAATGGTCTAGCATAAACGATTGTTTGGTATTAAAAGCGTGAGCTGTTGAGAGCGACCTTAGATAATATTGAATTAAACGTATACTATATTACGATTACTATCTATTGAATCGATGATCCATGTGATTTACAAAATGGTGCTCGGATTACATAGTCAAACTCGATAAGATAAAGTCGACGGGCTGGTGGTATCGGTTTAAGCTATAGAGGTTTTATTTTATCG